GGAACACACATGCAAACACACACACACACACACACACACACACACACACACACTCGTGCCTAGAAAAGCTGTTGGAAACTGAAAGAGCCTGGTAGCCCAGGGAAGAGAATTGTACCATGCGCCAATCTTGGTTTTGATAGGGTACTACGCTTATGTAAGAGGTTACCACTGGGGAACGCTGGGGGATTTTCCGTAATTCTATGTTTCAAGTTAAAAAATAAAATCCACCCAAAAAATGGAACAAAAAGGCAGGAAAAGCCAGGTATGGTGGTGGCACATGCCTGTAATCCCAGAAGCTTGGGAGGCTGAGGCAGGAGAATCACAAGTTTGAGGTCAGCCTCAGCAACTTAGTTAGGTCCTAAGCAACGTAGTGAGGCCCTGTCTCAAAATTAAAAAATAAAAACGGCTGGGGATATGAGGATATGGCTCAGGGGGTAAGTGCCCCTGGGTTCAATCCCTGGTACAATAAAAAAAAAAAAGCAAGACATTGGAGTGATTAGGAGCTGGCAATTGTGGCAGTGACCAGGAGAGCTCCAGGTCCCAAGCTGGCTCCAGTGGGGATCTCCTGTTGAGAAGGAGGAGCTGTCCATGGTACCTTGCAAGGCCACACTCCTGTCTAGCATCGTTGGCACTCGCTTCTGCACAGGGGTTTGCAGACGTCCATCCTCTCTCCCGTCTTCCTGCACCACACCCCACTCCCCACCAAGGGGAGCCGAGGCACATGGCTAGAGAGATGCGGTGGTCACCATGGTCCTGAGTCGGCTGCATTTTTAGAGGAGCGCTCCAAGGGCAGATGTCAGCATACTGCCACGATTGTCTCAGGGCGGTGAGATTGAGTGGTTTCCATTTTCTTCTTTGTGTTTGACTATCTCTAAAGTTTATGGAATAAAAGGATTGCTTTGGAGATAAGAAAAATCAATAAAAGTTATTATTCTTTAAAATGGGCGCCCAAAGACCGACCCTGATCTCTTCACACTTGCAAAGCAGGCCTGGAGCTTGGCCACGCCCACCTCCCCACTCGCTCCTGCTGCCTGGCTCTGGCCTTGGCTGCACCCAAGGCAGAGGGGGCAAGCGTCACACTCTGGCCCTGTCCCTGCAGCCCCCTCTGGCACAAGCCCCTTCCCTGACTCCCAGCTCCCATCTCTGCTCTGCTTGTCCTTCAAGTCTGTGAGCCATCTCCTTCCCTGAGAAGCATCCCTGTCCCCAAAGGACAGCTCCTACCGTGCCTCGCCTTTGCACATGTTGTCTGGGAGACATCCCCCCTTCCCAGGCCCGTGCTGGGCCTCCCCTCGGCCTCAGCCTCCCCTCAACCTCAGCCTCTCCAGTACTGCTTGGCCTGCTCTCTGTGCCCTCCGTGGCTAGGCTCCCCACCTCCAGGTTCCCAGACCATTTGGCCAGGGGGGCCCAACAGGTGCAGGTTGGTGGCTGGAGAGGTGGGAGGGAGGGGAGCGAGGCAGGCAGGTGCCTCCTGCCCGGCCAGCTGGCTCTCCTCTCAGGTCTTCTCCAGGGCCCTGTGGTCTCTCTCTCCTTTCGTGTCTGCTTCCTCCCTTTGTCCCAGGGTGCTGTCAACATGGCTGCCACATGCCGTGGTCCCTACACCCTTTCTGGAAATGGCCCTTTGCAGGGAAACCCCCTTGGTTTATTCTATTTGGGCGTCAACACTCTCATGGGCAGGGCACGGGTTTCCCTGCTGCCTCGAGCATACCTGGTATACAGTAGGGGCTCTGTAATTGCATGCTGAGTGAATGGTTAAACCTCAGGAACAGCACCTCGGGTTTTCTGTTTCCATGCTCTGCAGCTTTCCTGCAGACAGAGAAGACCTGGGGATTGGCCTCCTGCTTGGCCTCCCAGGTGCCCTGTTCTTACCCCACCGGGTCCTGTCCAGGCCTGTGGCCCTGGGGCTGGGTTGTACATCCCTCCTGTGCTCCCCACAGAGCCTGGCACATAGTAGGTGCTTAATGAACGTGTGTGTGCATTCCTGGATGCCTCATCAGGCATCACCCTCTGACCTCCACCAAGTGACGGCACGGTGACCGGCAGGTGTCCAGTGTGGAGCCAGCTGCCAGCCCTGGTCCTCCTGGGAGGCTGGGCTGCTGGCTGGGCTTCTCACTGCCAAGGACCACGCACCCTCATGCCACTTGCCTCCCTTTCCTCATCCTCCCCCAGACACCCACTGTCCCCTCGGTCCCCTGCTGGATGGCGGCTCTCCATGCCGTCCCTTCAGACACCAGCCCTACCTGGCCAGCTGCTGCACCTCTATTCTATGTCTTTCTCCCTGGTCCCCTATAAATAGTGCATTTTATCTCTTCAGTCTAAGGGCCTGGCCACCTTCTTCTGTCCCATGACCAGGACTGTCACTGAGTGGCTGTGTGACCTTGGGCAAGACAGGCCTTTCTCTCTGGGCCTCCACTTGGAATTCCTTGATCCTCTGTGCCCCCCCCCATAGAGCCTGGCACATAGTAGGTGCTTAATGAACGTGTGTGTGCGCTCACCATCTTTAGCCATCGACAGGTCCTGGGCTCTCTCACCATTCCCTGGAGATGCTGTAGGAGGGTGCAGAGCCACCCAGAGCTTGGGAGGCGCCACAGAGGTGGAAGTCTCTGCAGAGGCCTGACCTTTGGGCTGTGGGCTCAAACAGAGAAGCCCGGGACACGCAGTGTCCTAGGGAACGGCTCATCTCAGAGGAGCTCAGTGTCAGAGTGCCTGTCGAGCCCACGCAGGTTGGAGGCCACGAGATGTCTCAACACCAGGGACCACGCCAGGCCCGCCTGGGTGCAAACTGCAGCGGGGGGGGGGGGGGGGGGGCCAGCCTAGAGGCAGGTTGCGGGGCCCTGTCTGCAGCTCCGGGTTCCCCAGGGGTCAGAGATGGACCCTGAGGCTGCGTGGGGCTTCTACTCAGTCTAAGAAAGGTTCCTAAAGCTGGAAACAGCGACGAGAGATGGTGAACTCCGGCCGTCGAGAGGTTGCAAGCAGAGGCCGCTCCTCCAGCCCAGCCCTGCCTGCCCTCCCCACTCCCTGCATCAGGCTAGGGCCCAGATCTTTCTCCAAGGTCCACAGGCCTGCCTCCACCCTGTGGATCTGCCCTCAAGTCCTCAGGGCCCTGGTGCCTCCAGGACCCAGTCCAGCCCAAGCCTCCTGTCTTACTGGGCCTTTGTCAGAAGCTCAGATAGGGAGCGGTTTACCCTGGATGGAGTGGGGTAGGGGTGGGTGCCCCATGCCAGGGCCTTTAGGAAGAGCAAGGGAGGGGTCTCCCAGACGGATAGGGGAACATGGTTGGGAGATGTGGCTCCTGGCCACCTGTACTGATGCAGGTGGACTCAGGGCTGGAGGCCAGTCCTCATGTCTTGCTCAGCTCCGAGGGCAGGATGGCAGGTAACTGGTCTTGGCAGCAAGGAGCACTGGAGTTAGCTTCAGGGAGGGACTTTCTCCCCTCTCCTCTAATGGTTCTAAATAAGCCCATGTTCCTCCCAGGTGGACTCTGGCCACTCATTCACTCAGCAGAGGCTGCACCAGAGCAGGCTGCTTGGAGGCACAGGTGTGGGTGAGTGGGGAGAAGGGGGTGGCAGGGCATGGTGGTGGGCTGAGGGCTGGCTCCAGTTCATCATGGGGTCCATCCGAGGAGGGGGCTCTGGCCATCACAGGGCCCCCATGCAGACGCATCCCCCTCCTGTCTCGAGGTCACACTCACTCCTGCAGACCCAGGCCCGCTTACACTCCCTCAGCTGCGTGTGCACAGCCAGACACACCGGGCCCTGGAGCAGCCTAGGGACCCAGGAGCCGCTGCACACCCTGGGCCCTGGCCCTGCTCACCCCCACTGCCACCTCTGAGCACTCGGCTGGTTCCTGTCCTGTTCACGCTGGCTCTTGCCCCCAAAGCTGCTGGACTCTCCTCCACCAAGCTGGGCTGCCCAGCTCCCCCACATGCAGCCCCCCACCATGGTCACCCACTCCAGGTGCCACTCCACCCCAAGGCCAGCCCCGACTAAACATCAAAGAAGCCCCCAATCTTCCCCTGAAACGCAAGTAAAAACCCAGTACAAACAGGTATTTGGGTTTTTTTTTTCCTTTGCAGATATTTTTTTAGTAGACATAGTCATTTTTTTGTTGTTGTTCTTTCTCATTTTACAGCAAACATTGCAAATATAGAAATATTTTTCTGTACAATGGAACGACTCGAGTATACACCAGGGACCGGGCTGGGGGTGCACAGTGCTTCCCAGCCGAGCCCCTCCACCACCCCGCCCGTCCACAGGCACGGCCTCCACCTCCCCACCGAGTCCGCAGCTTCAGGACGGTCCTGGAGGCCGCTCCGCCTTGCATCTGTTCTGTCCCTCTGCGGTGGCCTCCGGAGGTGGCAACGAAGAGACGGGCTGGACAGAGAGTCCACAGAAGACCACAGACTGGGAGGTCCCGCGGGGGGGAGGGGTATGAGGCGACCATGTTGGCCACGCCCCCCCCACGATAAGGGTTTTATCTTGTAAAGAATTTTACTTTTATTATTTTTTTTAAAAAAAGGAAGAAAAGAAAGAGAAAGAGGAAAAGAGAAAAGGCAGAGAAGAGTCAAAAGAGGAAAGATAATGAAAAAAAAAATCCCCCACCCCCACCCCTAAGACACAGTTTTCCGAAGTCCCCGGTGTGCATGTGTGTGCGTGTGCCTCTGTGCGTGTGTGTGTATGGGTGCGTGTATGTGTGTGTGGTGTGTGTGCATGTATGTGCGTGTGTGTGCGCACGCGCGCTGCTCCCTCGGTCTGCTGGCCCGCGCACCTCAGCGCAGGTGCAGCGCCTCAGGACAAGCGCCTGACCCGTCCGGGTTGACGGCCCCTCCCCGCGGTCCGCAGGGCCTGGCTCTGACCTTCCTGTGTTGTGCGCGTGCGTCGGGTTTCCCCGGTGAGAGTCTCTGAGTTACAAATAGCTGCGGTGGATCTCGTATCCTTTTTGGTCCAGTGGGCATCACGAGTTTCGGGGAGGGCTGGCGAGGCACGGGGTGCCCGGCCGAGGGCTCAGGACTTGTGCTGGGCGGACACGCCCTTCCAGTAGTCCAGGATGTCATGCAGATCCTCGTCTTTGGCGAACTGGACCTTCTTGCGCAGGGCGTGGCCGGCGGCCATGAACTCCTCCTCGTCCTTGTGCCGCCGACGGCTCAGTCTGAAGCGCTCCCAGATGCTCTGGGTGGCCCTGCAGGTGTACTCGGGGCTGGAGGAGTAGCTCAGGTTGTGGTACTGTGGGGACAGCTGCGAGTAGGCCAGGTCGCGGGGCCGCGGCCGGGTCAGGGGCTCCAGGATGGACGCCTTGCGTCCACCCAGGCCCTCGTGGGCGGGCGGGGGCGGGGGCGGTGCCGGGGGCTCGGCCGGGTGCGAGCCGGGGTACGAGTGCCGGTGCTCGCCGTACTGGCGGCCCTTCTCGGCCTCTGCCCGCAGCACGGCGGCCGCGGGCGTCACAGTGAGGATGGTGTCGGCTGCTGGTGAGCTCTTCTCGATGTACTTGGCCTCGGCCGCCTTGTGCACACCTGAGGCCTCGGCGCGGAAGGCCCGCGGGCTGCGCGTGGAGCCGCCACTGGAGGAGGTGCTGGCCCGCGGGGGCCCCGGCGCCGTCTCCACGCTGTGGTGCCGCTGCAGGCCGTGGCTGAAGGCGTCCTTGTACATGGGCGACAGGAAGCTGTGCTTGCCGGCCAGCGGCTCGGACAGCAGCACCAGCTGCGGCTCGGCTGTGGACACAGCCCCGGACTTGACACCCTGGAAGGCGGTGGACTCGGACTTGAGCGCATCGATGCAGTTGTTGATGATCTGGTTGACTTTGTCCACCTCCTTGGCGATGGTGGAGATCTCAGCCACGGAGCTCTGGCTGTCCGGGCCCTGCCGGCCCAGCTCGCAGTCCCTGCGCTCCGGAGCCTCCCCCGTGCGCACCTCGATGTAGTTGCCCTTGCTGGCCTTGGGCGTCTCTGCGCTCTCCACCAGCTTGTACTGCTCCACCTCGCCAGTGGCCGCGGGCAGGTACGGGATGCGGGTCACAGCCTCAGGGCCCAGCAGTGGGCCTTGGGACAGCGGAGCCAGGCCAGGCGCCTCCATCTCTGGCCCGTACTTGAGCTCGATGATGGTCTTCTTCAGGCTGCCAGCCGCCGCCGCCGCCGCCGCCTTCTTGTGCTTTTCCTCCTGGCGCCTCCGCCTGCGCAGGCAGTAGTACACGGCACCCAGCACCAGCACCATGCCGAAGAGGCAGCCCAGGATGGTCATGATGTAGTGGGTGGCCGTGGAGGGGCTGGGCACCGGCCCGGGTGGGCTGGGCGGCTTGGGCAGGCAGATGGTGAGGCATGTGTGGTTGTGCTGGGTCCCGGAGCTGGTGGACACCACGCAGTAGGTGTAGTTAGTGAGCGTGTACAGGTTGGTCAGGCGGATCTCCTCCTGGGCCTGGGTCAGCTTGGACACGGTGGAGGGCTTGCTGTTGTTGTACTGCTCCAGCGTGTACATGCGGTTGAAGGGGCTGGGCAGCTGGACAGTGATGGTGGCCGAGTTCTGGGTCAGCTGCTTGACCTTAATGAGGGGACGGGCCTCGGCCTGGGTGGCCAGCGTGGCCACCATCGGGGTGGTGCCGTCGCCGGAGAAGCATTCGTCGTAGGCACAGGGCGCGTCGCTGGGCTCGGGAGGTGGCGGTGGTGGCGGTGAGCGCCCCAGCTGTGGGCGACCTGGCACCAGGCGGGGCCCGATCACCTCGACTGCGGCCCCGTAGGAGTCCTCCGTGCAGACGGACTGCAGCTTGCTGAGGATGCTGCGCTGGCCCTGGCGGCCCTGGCCCAGCAGGTAGTAGCCGGAGTAGACGGGCGGCGACTCGCACTGCATGCGGTCGTAGGTCTGCGTGGCGTTGGTGAAGGCGGCCAGCCAGCGCAGGAAGCCCAGCAGCTCGCAGGAGCAGTAGAAGGGGTTGCTGTACAGCTCGCACACGGACAGCTTGGCCAGGCCCGCGAAGGTGCCGCTGCTCAGCTGCTGGATGCGGTTCATGGACAGGTCGATGTTGACGATGTTGGGACACTCCCAGAAGGCGCTGGCCATGACCACCTCGATGAGGTTGGCCTGCAGGTACAGGTACTCCAGCTTGCTCAGGCCCCGCAGCATGCCCTCCGTGAGGTTGCGCAGCCGGTTGTAGCCCAGCTGCAGCACCTGCAGGTTGAACTGGGCCGAGAAGGCGCCGTCCTCGATGTAGCCGATCTCGTTCTTGGTGAGGTTGAGGTACGTGAGGTTGCCGAAGCGGCTCAGCGAGGCGTACTGCACGCTGCGGATGCGGTTCTCGTTGAGCCGCAGATCCACGATGGTGTTGTTGATCTGCTGCGGGATGGCCTCGTAGGGAGGCTGATTCTGGCTGCAGATGGCCAGCCACACGAACCCCTTGTCACCCTCGATCAGCCAGCAGTCGCCGTGGGCCAGCCCTCCCGCGTGCAGCAGGGTGGCAGCCGCCACGCACACCCACAGCACACCCCACCCGCGCCCGGCCATCGGGACCCTTGCGGAAGACCCTGCTTAGCCTACCCAAGGGGACCCGGTGGGGGGCTGGGCGGCAGCTCCCAGAGGGGAGACGGGGCGGGACGGGGAGCGGTCTGCACTCTCAGCCGTGTCCTGTCCCAAGCTGCATGGCCACGTGGTGCGAGTGCTGGGGACGGGGAACACCTCCGTCACGGCCCGCGGCCCCTTGTAGTCTGCCCCAGGTCTGCGGTGACCACAGCCTCCTTCCCCATGGGCCTGCGTGTCCTGGCAGCTCCGCCTGGTGCCTCTGCTCCGTGGAAGTCCCTGCTGCAAGACAAAAGAGGAGAGAGGTCACCGAGGCCCCCTGGACGGGTGTGGCCTGAGTCCTGGCTCCCGAGAGCCTCTGCTGGAAAATGGGGCCAGAAGCTTCCTCAGGGCGCAGGGGTGGGGGGCACGGGGGGCAGGCAGGAGGACAGAGAAAAACTGGGGCTCCTCCCACCTCTGCCTCAGCTTCCTCATCTGCAGAGGGGATGTGACGCCACCTGTGTGGCTGGGCTCCCAGGAACTGTGACTGCGTGCAGTCGGGACCCACGTGGCCCACTCCCCACTGAGCATAGCCCTGGGTAGATGGGAAACTGAGGCCCAGAGACGGGGCAGAGTCACCTGGCCAACAGGTGAAGGGGCTGCCCCAGTGGGGACATGTATGTGTCTGAATGACCTTGCTGGGCTCTGCGCCCTCCACTTGGGAGCTAAGATGCCACTTCTGCTGCGAGAGGGCCCCCTGTAGGGGTCCAGTGCACCCTGAGGATGTCCTGAGCCCAGACAGAGGATCCTTCCGGAGCATGGCTCCTCTCAAGCTCCTTCAGAGACTAATCCTGAGGTGCCTGGCCTGGCCACCAGCAGTCGGGGCTTGGTCTGAGCTCTCCGGCAAGTCGTGCCCTCTCTGAGCATCAGTTTCCCCAAATGAATCAGCTGGGAGGCCTCTGAGGCCAGCACCCCATCCCTGTGCCCTCTCCGCACCCCACCCCCACGTTGGTGGAGTCTGGCAACGAGATCTGGAAGTGGGGGAGCCCGCTCGGCCAAGAAGTCCCCGCACTCTGCAGCTCCCCCGCCCAGGCTTGGGAGGGACGACTCTGCAGTCCCAGGGCCTGAGCTGTCTCCCTCCACCCCCACCTTGTGGCTGGGCAAGGGTGTCCCCCCCGCCCCGCAGCCCACGAGCACAGGTGCCTCATCCGTCACCCAGTGTCTGCTGCAGCCAAGGGCTAACGGGGCTGCAGGCTGTGGGGAGCCTCACGGGGAGCAGGCCGGGGCTGAGAGTACCGAGGTGTGGGGGACCCTGCCCACCCAGCAGGACGACCTCCCTGCCCCCTCGTGTTTTCCCTGCAGGAGGGAGAAATGGGTTTGTGTTTGCTTGTTAATATTTGGATTTACAGCCGGCCTCTGTCACCGCTCTCTGGCCTGGCAGGCAGCCAGCCGAGTGTATTTCACCGATATTGACGTCTGCAACTAGTCCGCACTGAGGCGGTTCAAATTAGGAGAAAAAAAATATATAATGATGTGAAATGGATTTTCCCCTCTTTGGAAACTTCATAAAGAACCATTTTGATCTGGCTCCTGGGAAGAGGCTATTTCTGATCTAAAGACGGGGAGAGATCAGAGGGGCTAGGGGCTGCGGAGGGGTCCTGGCAGGCCGAGGAGCTGACCCCAGGGCAGGGTCCAGCCAAGCCTGGACACCTGGGGTCAGGAATGGCTCAGCAGGATGGGGCCAAGCCCGGGAGCCTGCCAGGAGAGCCGCAGTGAGGCCCCGCAGGACGTGGCTGGTCACGTAAAACCCAGTCGCAGGGGAGCTCCGTGACATCCAGGAAAGGCTGAGGGCTCATCTCTGTCACCACTGTCCTCTCGAGCATTGCACAGTACGGGGTACCTGCAGCCTGCACCCCCCAGGGCGTCCCCTCCCTTCCTACCAGGCTCCGTCTGCCCGGGATGCCCGGGAACCTGTGCCAACCTGTGATCTGTGTCGCCTGGGCCTCCCGAGGGCCCGAAGCCCAGCAGAGGTGGAGGGTGTCAGGTAGGGGCTGGGAAAGCACAGGACTGTCCCCAGGCTTCCAGAAGGGGGTGCTCAGAGCTGCCGCAGGCCCAGCGAGGAAGTGTGGCGCCCCAGCAATGTGATCGTAATCACCTTAATCTCTTGCTCAAAATAACCCAAAGTCAAGCTAAGCAGGATTACAGGGTCTACAGAGTCCTATCACAGGTGCCGCGCGTTGCCCGCCACGAGGGCCCCAGGGCAGGGCTGCGTGGGCGCAGGGGTTCATGCCGGTGGGCCTGTGCACGTGTGTGTGGGTGGGGTGCCACCGACATGCGGGCCACGTACATATGTCCACCTACACACGTGTGCACGTGTGGGAACTTGTACCAGGGGTTTTGCGGCAGCCCCTGCTGGGGCGCCCCCCCCTCCCCCCCCCCCCCCCCCCCCTCCCCATGTGGCAGTGTAAGAGTCTGTGCGTCCATTCAAGCCGCTGAGAGTCTCTCCTACCTCCCCCCCTGCAGCCTCCTCCATCAGGCTGGGCCGGCCTGTGTGATGGGCAGGCAGGCCTGGTTTTCCATCTTGTGCTGGATTGATTTTTTGATTTATTTATTTTGGTACTGGGGGTTGAACCCAAGGGTGCTCAACTACTGAGCTACATCCCCAGCCTCCCACCCACCCACCCCCACACACATTTTTAAATTATTTTTGTTTTGAGACAGGGTCTCACTACGTTGCTTAGGGCCTAGGCGAAGTGCTGAGGCTGGCCTTGAACTTGCAGCCTCCCGTCTCAGCCTCCCCGGTTGCTGGGATTCTAGGTGTGGCCACCCTGCCAGGCTCTTGCCAGCTTTTGCACCTGCCCCCACCTGGCCTTGTCACCAAACCTCCCAGGTGCAGATGTGCTGGGCTAGGATGTGAATCCGGTGGCTGGTCCCCGTGTGGCCAGAAGCTTGGCCTTTGCCCCTCTCTAGCCCCACAACCTCAGCCTAGGAAGGAGCCTCAAGTTCTCCTTCCACCCCTAACTTTACACATGGGGACACTGAGGCCCGAGAGAAGGACCTGTCCAAGGTCACCGAGTGAATCAGCCCGGAGCCTCCCCCTGCCAGGGACTGGAGGGAGGGGGCTGGTGACTGAGCGGCAGCCACGCAGGCCTGAGTCTCCACCCTGGCCCCCCGGGAAAGAGTGTCCCCCGCACGGGTCTGGGGGCCCCTGAGGATGGAGGCCACGGCCTGACACCAGGAACAGCTGTGCAGGGACATGAGGATCCCCTGGGCAGGTGCTGAACAGACCCTCTGGCCAGGCTCCCTCGCTCCCCGGCCCTGGGCACCCCTCACTGACCACTCCAGCCCCTTCTCCCTGGGCTCAGGTTCTCAGCCATCAAGCCCCGGGGGCTGTGCTAGAGTGCTGGGCCTGGCTGGCCGGAGGCGGGGCACAGACCCTGCACAGGGCGGCCCTCGGCCCACCTGCCACCCCAGACTCAGGGCCCCGCAGGTGAGCCTTGGGCCCTGGCGACTGCAACTCTTGGAAGGGTGAGCGGTCCCCTCCCTCCACCTACTGCACTGTCTCCTCTGTGTCTCAGGCTTCAGGAGACACGGAAGGTGCCACCCTCGAGTCCCTGTGATCCCTTCTCCCCTCTGCAGCACCCTGTCCCAGGGCAGGTGATCCACAGCCGTGGGCCATGCGCCACATGCAGAGGCTCAGCGTGTGCTGTCCAGCCAAGCACCGCTGGCCACTTGTGGCTATGAGCACCAGAAACGTGGCCAGTGGCTGCGGTGTTGGACTGCATACTTCTAGAACCTTCCGTCAAAGCAACCAACTGACTGGACTTGAGCAACCTCCACCCTGCCCCCCACTTCCCCTTAATAGCAAATTTTCCTGGAAGAGAGGCCAGCAGTTTCGGTCCCATCTCCTGACTTCATCTTCTCTCAGCCCTTCCTGTCCAGCGTCCAGCGTCCACCTCAGCTCTCCGCAGCTCTGCGGCTAGCTCCCATCAAGGTCGCTGGCCACCTCCTCCTGCCATGTCCAAAAGGCTTGCTTTTATTATCTTGCCCTCACAGCACCTGGCCCAGGTACCTGCCAGGACTAGGTGGACACTGCTCCTCACTGGGTCCCTAGGAGTGGCCTCTTTCTGCAGGGGCCAGCGATGGTCCCTTCGATGCTGAGGTGCCCTCGGCTCCAGGCTTCAGATGGGCCACTGTCTCCTGTCCCCACTGCTGGGTCCTCACCTAGACCTCTGGCTGTCCTTGGAGCCCAGTTGTCCTCAGGTCCCTCCTCTAATGCTCCCCAGGTAGGCTTGTTCCTTGTGGTTACAATGGGGACTCTCCCAAATCTGCAAACAGTGTGTGACCTGGTGTGTGACCTGGGGCAGGCACAGAACCCCGAGGTCAGGTTTGGGAGGTCAGACTCAGCCCAGAGGATGGGGCTGGGGTGGGGACCATTGCTGGCCCCTGCAGAAAGGGGCACTCTGAGGGACCCATTGAGGAGCAGCGTCCACCTAGTCCTGGGAAGTAGGTCCCCCCACCCCACCCCAGTCACCACGGGTGTCCCAGCTGGAGCTTGGAGCAGAGGGGCAGGGCGGCCTGTCCTAGGGGGAGACTGTAAAAGATGCCACATTCCCGGGGGACAGCTGGCCAGTTAGAATCTTGCATATGGCAGGAACATCCAAAAGACCCTCGGAAGGACATGGATCTGACCTCCCTAAAGCACTCTCGCCCAGTGGGTGGCAGGTGCACCAATAGCAATAGAGTGGGGACAGCTTGCCAGGTAAAGCGCCCCTGGACTCAGTCCCTAGTACCCAGGCTCCCCACCCAGAATCACCGAACCAGGCGTCTCTGGGACTCTGCGGTGAGAAGTCCAGGACCTGGTGTCTGTCTGCCCTTGTGACGCCTCCTGGCCTCCCCCACGACCCGTGCACGCTGACACAGAGTCACTCCAACATCTCCCGGCCACTGGTGCTCGCCCACGCCGTGCCCATGCTGAGAGCACTCTGTCACCAGGGGACGACGGGGAC